AATCTACTTTCTCATGCTTTTGAGGTTAAAAAATATTTAATCCAGTGTACTAATTAATATCTTATGCATTATAGGCTCTATTGAAAATAATAAGGATGATGTAAATACACCAGGTCAAAATAACATTTAATATAAAAAATATTTAAAATTAATAGCTAACTATTTTTATTTTAGAATTTAAAATTAAACACCTAGTCATAGTTTTAACTAAATTAAAATTGCCAGTACAAACCACTTTGGGTAATTTATTATTTTAAATAATTTTGGCTAACCAAAATATTTTGACATTTATAAGATATACCCAAACGTAGGAGGGAAGAAAATGATCTTGATACACTCTTTTATATGCCCAAAGACCATATAAAATCACTACCTAGTACAAGTAATATAATCTATTAAGATTTAAATATTTTTTATTATAGATTTAGATATATCAAGTATTACATTTAATAAAAATGATGATAGTCAACAAAATGAACACACCAAATCATTAATTAATATAGAAAATCAAAATTTTAATGTGAACTTGATACCATAAGCAACAATTTACCACCCACATCAGGTATTTTATAATGACCTTATTTAAATGAATCACTAATTAATATAGAAAATCAAAATTTTAATGATGAACTTGATACCATAAGCAACAATTTACCACCCACATCAGGTATTTTATAATGACCTTATTTAAATGAATCACCAATTAATATAGAAAATCAGAATTTTAATGATGAACTTGATACCATAAGCAACAATTTACCACTCACCTCAGGTATTTTATGAACTTATATGACCTTATTTAAATGTATTCATTTAAATTTTAGAAATACCTAGATACTCTATAAAAAATTATGATAAAAATAAGCTAAATACACTTGATCACTTCAAATCTCTACCTAGTAAAAGTAATGTTAACTATTACCTTTAAATATTTATATCATAATTTTAGGTATATCAAGTATCATATTGAAGAAGAATGATAGTAGTCAACAAAATATTATAGGCTGTATCAATTTAGAATTTAAAGGTTATCTAATATGTTGTTTTATTTTATTTATTTTATAGGAATATCTCAATTAATATTCACACCAAGGGGTAAAAAAAATAGTGATAACAAACAAAAAAATACACTAAGTCACAACAAATCACTATCTAATAAATGTAATGTAATCAATTACTTATTAATATTTACATTAAAATTTTAGATATATCTAAAAAATCTAGGGAGAATTTAAATGGAAATGAAGTTCCACTCATGTCAGGTATTAGTCTTATTTAAATTATATTTATTTAAAATCTTAGCAATTCCCACATACTCCAGAAACCTAAGGGTTAATAGAAAACCAATTATACTAGATCATTTAGAACCATCACCTACTACAAGTGATATAGTCTATTACTTTATACTTATAATAATCAAAAGTTGGTTCCAAAGCTAACATGTCATCTATGATTATTAGCCTAGGTTTCTCAATATTAATTTTAAACATCTATCATATATTGGTAAAAAAATATTGCCAACACAATTTTGATTTTTTCACTTTGAAGAATATCGACTTAAATTTACAGTTTAAAAAAAACATTTATTTTTTAATCTATATTTTTAATGTGTTTACTAATTATAAAATATATTTATAATTAAGGCAATATAATATTTATAATTAAAGCAATTTATATGTGTAATACTAATATTTATAATTAAGGCAATATAATATTTATAATTAAAGCAATATAATATTTATAATTAAAGCAATATAATATTTATAATTATAGCAATATAATATTTATAATTAAATCAATATAATATTTATATTTTAAATAATCGCTTTTTATTTGTAAATAACTTCTAAAAGTATAATAAAATGAAACGTATATCAATAAAATTGTGTCAATGTGTTATTTTAATTAAAATTATGTCAATGTGTTATTTTAATTAAAATTAGTGGTTAATGGCTCAATTTTAGCCGATATGGCTAACTCAATATATTAGCCAGAAAATTTTGCTCATGGAGATACAAGTTTTATATTATTCGAGAAATCTCTAGGCTTGAACAATATTTTTTGGCAAAAATATTGAGTTAGCTGTTTATAAAAATCAGCTCAAGTCGAGCCGTTTAACAACACTAATTAAAATAATTAATAATTCTAGGACTTTTATATTATAAGAAAAACCAATATAATTTTTAAGATAAACCCGGCCGAAGGCCGGGCAAAGGGCCGAAGGCCCGTAAAAGGGGGTCTGGGGGGCGAAGCCCCCCAGGCTTTTATATGTGGACCCCCTCTAAGGTAAATTCCTAGCTACGCCACTGGTCATCACAATAGACTAGGTAGTCACAATAGATTAGGTAGTCACAATAGATTAGGTAGTCATCTCCATAGGTTAAGCAGTCTCCATAGGTTAAATAGTCATCACAATAGATTAGGTAGTCACAATAGATAAGGTAGTCATAATAGGTAGTCATCTCCATAGGTTAAGCAGTCTCCATAGGTTAGATAGTCATCACAATAGGTAGTAAATTGGTAGTCATATAAATAGAGTCATCTCAATGGATTAAACAATCGTCACAATAGGAAGTCACCACAAAGGTAGTCATATAAATAGAGTCATCTCAATGGATTAAGCAATCGTCACAATAGGTAGTCATATAAATCGAGTCATCTCAATGGATTAAACAATCGTCACAATAGGTAGTCAAATCAATAAATAAGGTAGTCATCAATTTCAAATTTAATTTAATTTATACTTTTTTATTTTAATTTTAGGCAAATTTTCTATATTTTATTCTTTTTTTTTTTACAAAAACGTAACAGGGCGCCATAAAAGAAACAAGAAGTTAACAAGTTATATTTATTCTAAAAAAAATTTTTTTTTTACCTTTTATAATTTTGTAAATTTGGATAAAATTTTGACTATCGAAAAGAAAAGTCAAAAAAAATTTTATTTTGTCCTTTTATCATCTCCAATATCGAACGACGAATTTGATAAGTAATTCGTTTACTTTTTATTTTTACAAAAGAAATCATGGTAAGGATATTTTTTTTAATTTTTTTTTTTAAACTTTTATCATTTAACTTTAATTTAAAACGAAAAACGTACCACCGTAACCGGGGCACCATAAAAGAAATAAATATAAAACTAAAATAAACTATTTAAATTAATTCTCTTTAAATCAAATTTATTATATATTTTTTATAAAAAAGTTAATTTGAACATATTAAACAATCAACGTTAATATATTTTAAAAATAAACAATATTCAAATAAAACTAAAATTTATAATATAAGATTAACTATTCAAATTTAAGATTAATTCTTTAAATTTATTTAAATATATGATCAATCAACACATTATTAATGGGAAAATATGCGGTAGTTTTATCATGGCCTTTATAACAATACTTACGACCGTTTTATGGTTGAGTTGACAATGTCGTTCATGATTCTATTTTAGAGGGGGATTCCAAAACTGACACTTTGGCAGAAATATCATTTTGCGTTCTTCTTTTACCAGTAGCCCAAGGCCTCAGTTTTATCAGGACGCAATGGGTGTTGTACACTGCTTTGGTAATCCGTCATTATTCACTACTTTCACCTACAACCCTAAATGGGATGATATTATACATTAATTATTTCCTATGCAGACGACTGCCCAGATTTATTTTGTCGCTTTTTCCATCAAACAAAAATTAAAATTTCATAAAGGATTTGCTCTTAATTTTATCAGACACACAAAATAATAGTTAATCCTCATCATTTTTTTAAAAAAATTACCTAAATTTATATGGCAATAAAAACGAATTTCTTAAAAAATATATAAATAAATTGCATATAAGTTTCATTAGTATTGAATGGTATTTTTGTAATTTAAATAAATAGCATTTTTTTGTACTTAAAATAAAGATATAGATAGCCCTTATCAAATTTTTGATAAAAGGAGTTAACCCACTAATTGGTAAATCCGAGATTTCCCCTTCATGCGATGATAAATTATTTAGAAATTTAACTATCTCCGGGTTTGGGAAAAAGTTTTGAAAATTAATATGGGTTAGACTGGGATTGGAAAATATTCCTCAAGATTAATATTTGCTTGCACCTGACTTGGGAATATCTTTTACAAACTATTATTTGCTGGGCTAGGAAAAATTTTCAAAATACCTGGCTTTAAATTTTTTAATGTTAAATGTTAGTCTTATGTAATCAGTAATATATTTACAAATAGTTTTGATATTAAGCTCATTTAAATATATTTAGACTCAAAAAATAGTTTCCACTCTTAGTCTTAATGGGCTGGACTCAATGACATTGGTTGGGCTTGACCTAAATGGGGAGGGAAGGGGGGTTTAAAAAAAATATAAATTGTATATGATTTTTAAATAAAAGGTAACATCTTTCTTAAAAAAACGAATAAAATTCTCATTCTCCGTCATTTTTGACGGGCTCTCTACTAGTATATATATAACGAAACTCCAACGGGGTGTTTCTTCACTTAATAGTTGCTAATTAATAAAATTGGTTAAAGCTCGATTACTTCCTAACAAATTATAGTGCACGTAGTTATCACTTATTCGTAGGCGCGTACTCTCAGATAGTCTCAATTTTTTTAATAATATTCCTTAGAAGAAATGATATAGATTATTTGATTCTTGAATTTAAAAATTAATACCAATAGCAACTTTACAAAATTTGATAAAGAAATAAAAACAATTTATTTTAATGTTGATTCCAACCTAGGGTTGAGCTATGATGTTCATCTAAAACCCTATTATAGGAACAGAATGAATTAAAATAGATACTCCAATCTATTATTAATTAGATCGGAAATAAATCTGGTAAATATTTTAGAAACAAAGGCAAATTCCGCTAATTTATAAATCTTATTCAAAAAAAATCAATTGCATTCCTTGAATTTCTTTATGTATGCATTTTTATTATATATTTTCCAGATCGATCGACTTCGGTAACGTAAAGCATTTACCTGATAAACATGAATTATAGTCACTTTTCATCTCATTTAAACATGTGAAAATGATCTTACCTCATTATAAACTTAGGCATCTTATAAGGTGTCATTCCTATCAAAATGATCCTGAAGATGATTATTCTCAGATATGGGATATTAAATTTGAGCCAGATATTGAAGATATAGGTACTAGAATTTATGGAAAGCGTTTAATACATAAAATTTTAGATAAAACAACATCTAAATGCGCAATTGTTGGTCAAGATTATTTAAATATTGTTGACTGTGAAAATGGTAATATTGATATGAAATTTAAATGTCCGAAGAGAAACGATAAAGATGAAGTTTTTTTTAAAACTCTTAACATGAATATTTAAGTTAAATTTAAAATTAAAACTATTTATAAAATAACATATATAAAAACTATTAAGATAATACTATAAAGACTAAATTTAAAAGAATTTATAATTAGTTATAGATTTAATAATTGAATTCCAAAAAAGAAACCATAATTATATCTAAAAATTTTAATTTTTTATAAATAAAAATTCCTTGACCTTGTTTCAGTGTCTAATTTTGCCACCTATATTTTATAAAAGCTTGAATTTTATTGGTAAAAAGAGCCATTGATGTATGTGAATATAGGAATAAAAAGGACATTGTTATGATCTTTACTAGCTGATAGCCAGTCAAGAATGATGAGGAATCCGAATTTTCTCCTTTATTTAATGATGGATAAATAATAAATTTTACCTTTATTTGATGTATGAATCAGAAATTTTCCAATCTTATGAGGTGTGATTCAGAAATTTATATTTATTTAAATAAGGGGTTATCTAAAATTTCCCATTATTTTTGATAAAATATGCATATGATGTATATATTTAGTTTATGTGCACAATAAAAAATCTTTTAAAATAAGTTTCTATTCATTTTTATTTGTACCAGAAGAGTTTTGTTTCTTTTAACAATTTTTTTACATCCAGATGTGATGGTTTTCATCCTTCTCAAATTTCGTATAAAATCTTAAATTTCAAGCAAATTTTAAAAAAACATATTCTTAACAAAGCCATTATCTGCTTCCATGATAACAATTACATTGATTTATTGAGTTGGAAAATTACAGACCTATGATATTTCATAAAAGTGATAATACATAAAACATGGCTCAAAATTATAAATAGTTGTCTATTTTCTAATTTATCCATCAATAAGAGGAGAATTTTTGTTTCATCCATCATCAAATTAAGGAGAAAATTGTAATTCTTTGTCAATCTTGATGATCTATTAGCTAGTAATCATAAATGCAAATGTTTACTTATGCGTAAAAATTACCTTATTAAAAGATATAATTGTATAAAATTTAAATATTTATTAAATTGGGGGATTGGATCCTTCCTTAAGAGTTTTATTAATAGAAGGCACAAAGCACTCCTTGGTCAATTGTTCTCCAGAGTTTTGAGTAAGTTTGCATAAATTTTAATTTTTTGTCAATCTTGATGATCTAGCTGCTGCTAGTAATCAAATAAATGTAAATGTTTACTTATGCATAAAAATTACCTTATTAAAAGATATATAATTGTATAAAATTCAAATATTTATTAGATTGTGGGATTGGATCCTTCTTTAAGGGTTTTCAATAATAGAAAGCACGAAGCACTCCGTAAATTTTTCTCTAGAGTTTGAGTAAGTTTGTATCTTCTTATGACATGGATCCATTCTTCAATAAGATCTTTATTGTAAGAAAATATATTTGATAATTTAAACATTGATACTGTGAAATCTAAATTCTAACCCTCTGATGAATTGGCTAGGCTATATTTCTTAATTTGATAAATTTCCATTTATTGATAATTTATCTAAATGTGAGGCACCTTGAGTATACAATGTAAATATTTATTAAAATAAAATCATCTGTAACATAATTACCAATATCTTTAACATCTTCTGGTGAGGTATCTTGGGTATTATATAAAATCATCTCCATTAAAAATAAAATATAAAATCTAGCATCACATGATAGAAATTAAATTATTATTGCTTAACATTTGCATGATGATTTTTTATTGGGCGAATAATTTTTAAAAGATTACTGTTGGCTAAATTTGATTTATGTTGTGACATGGCCTATATATATTATAGATATTTTTTAATTTTTTGGGTTAGTGGATTGATGTTGATGCTTGGCATGCAGACACACAAGTATATTCTCATATTAATGATTTGCTAAGGGATAGTTGTCATATATCAGGCCTTAATTCATCTAAGTTTTTATGTTATTTTATAAATAGTTTTAATAAATAGTAAAAAAAAATTAACATATTTGGTTTTATTATTAAATATGAATAAATATATAATGTTCATTTATTGGAATTCATATGATAAAATTTTATGCAGGATTTAATTTTTTAAAAAATATTTGCCTGTAATTTTATTAGGAATTATATACTCTCTGCTGGTCAACTGTTCAATATAAGGAAAATATGACACAATATACTAATATACTGGCAATGGCAGGTGCACTAAACCATTTAATTTATTATCATTATAAAATAGGTAAACTTAGAAGTATTTATTTAATCCAGCCATCTCAATTATCATGGTATGAAAACCTAAGAGGGCATAAGGGTCCAATAAAGGCTCTCACTTTTCATCCTATCAAACATAATTGGCTTTTCAGTACTACTTAAATTTTTGAAATTTATTATAAACAATATCTTTAATTTGATTATTATAATTAAATAACAATCATTATATATTATATTTGGTTAAGTAATCACCAATTTTTTTTTAACTAAGGCTAAACCATAGCTTTTTTGGCAAAGACTAATCCCAAGCCCAGTGCTGTGCCAAAATATTGGCCCTTGGGAAAGAATGGAGATTTGTTGGAAAACATGATAAGGGATGTGCCTTTAGACTTAGGGTATGTTTCATGCCATGTCATTCAGTCTCCATTTCATATACTGGTTTTAAATTATAATTATAGGTTTACTACCCCTCCACTTTTTATACCACCCTTAGACAAGGCCTAACTAAGCCTGGTGGATTGCCAATCCAATTCTTTTGACTAAGACTAAGCCGACATCCACATTTGAGTGCAAATGCAAAACTGGCTAAGTAAAATCTCGCTGATTATTTGCTAGCAAAATGGCAATCATATTTGAACACAAAATTTTTATTTTTTTATGAGATATATTTAGTATATTAAAAATCAATGTATAAACAAAAAAATGAAGGAGAATTTTATGTTCTTTATCCATGGATATTAATGAAATTTTATAATGTCTAAACAATATTATGCTGGAATAATTATCTATTAACAATATGTTAATTCAATTATTTAATTAAATAATATATGTAAATTTATCATAAATAATTATTTTAAATGTATATATTTCTTTAAATATATCTATTTTATTAATTCAATTATAAATTTGAAACTCTATGATATTAATACTAGTGGTCTGCATCGGGCCTAATTTTTCAAGCCCGGCCTGGCCCGAAATTCTTTTAAAAAAATTTTGCCGGCCTGCTCAGTCCGAATTTATTTAAATATAATTAATTTTTATAATTACTCAAAGTAAACGATATATGTTATATGGGGTCTACTTTCTATAAATAAAACCACATATTTTTATTTTACATAAAAAATTCAACATAAAATTGATAAATTTAGATGTATTTTAAAAAATTTCTAAGGCCCGACCCAACTCTGCCCAAATTTTCTTAAAAAATATTAGGCCCGGCCTGGGCCTACTTTTGCACTAATTAATACACTTAAAAATGAAAATACAAATTCTTAATTTTGTTAAAAAAGGAACCATAATTATATCTAAAGATTTCTATTTGAATTTTTTGACGAATATATAAAAATTCCTTTGCTTTGTTTGTAAAATGATGAATTTTGCTCTCAGGAAAGAACAAAAGAAATAAAGTTTCAAAAACTTATAGGTTAAGAGCTAAGAATGGCCGTTTTTGTTGAATAAAAAGGAATGAGATTTTTGTATTTATTGATCTTATTTGTTTTGCTTGGGTTAGTGGATTAATGTTTGAGAGAAATGATTTGCCGAGGGTCCAACTTATAGTTGTCATTAGTCATCTACATCGAGTCTAATTTTTCAAGCCTGTTATAGCCCGGCCCGATCCTGAAGAAATTTTTTTATTTGTCCCGAAAAGCCCGACCAGAAAATAAATTATTTGTCCGCCCGGCCCTTCCCGAATTTATTTAAATATAGAAAAATTTCGTTTTTTTATTATTGTATAAAAAATATACTATAAATAAAAAAATATTACCCCCTTGTTTCTTGCAAGAATTTTAAAATATGTATTTATTTGACAAAATGTAATGATATCATATTTAAAAATTAAGCCCAGCCCGACCAGAATTTTTTAAAAAATATTAGGCCCGAACCGAAATAATTTTTTTAAATAGACCAAGCCCGGCATGAAATTCTTTCGGGCCGGGTACGGGGGCCGTGATTTGCAGATCTCTAGTTGTCATACCACCAGGTCTTAAGATATCTACGTAAGATAAATTTATGAACTCAGGATGATTCGGAATCTGGGCAGCTGTTAAATCTCGATTTATTGCATGATTTGTTGCTGTGTGGTATTGGTGTCGCTTTTAACTGTATATAAATTGAGGGCGGGAACTGGTGATTTGCATTTGATACAGGCATGCGGCTATACGATGTCACAACCTAGACGTAAACCAATGGAAATTCTGACAGTTTGGTCTCCATTAGCTAGTAAAAGCAAGTCTGAAAACTTCATAATATTTTTATAATTTTTCACAACATTGAGTACATTTTATGCCGTTTACCGGCACATCAAAACTTATTTTCAAGCGTAAATGTCTATACATACCAAAATTTGCATATTTTCCGTTCATCGTCCTTTTTCAAAAACAACAAATTCTAGCCAAAATTCAGGACAAATTCAAAATATTTTTGGAAAACATTTTAATCATTAAATACCCACTTAATTGGTCACTCGCTCAGTTATCTTCTAAATTGGGTTGTCGACTATTTTGCTATCAATCTATTATCTTTAGCTTCATTTTTATGATCCAGATTAACAAACAACTCAATGATCTCAGGCTTTATATGACCCTCCGATCGTTTATTAGTTGGAGCTACTAGCGTTGCTAGGGGGCACGGGGGCTCAGCCCCTTATGTGCATCTTCACTCCCCTTAAACATCAACATCAATCCACTAATCCAAGCAGAAACAAAAAAGATCAATAACATCCCTTTTATTCCAATAGTTACTTTTACAAACGACCATCCTGTAAGTTTTTAAAAATTTTAATATAATTTTATTTGTAATATCTATTAATTAGACCAATAATTTGATTTGTTTTATAACATTTCCATATTATGTAAAAACATTTTTATATATGGTTATTTTACTTTCCGTAATTATTGTAAAATCATTTTGATATAATTTTAAAAAATTATATTATTAATAATAAAAGTTTTAAAAAGTTAAAAATGTGAAAGTTTTAAAGTTTTCGAATATAGTCTTATGTTTTGGACGCAAGTTGAAGTAGGAGAATGAGAATTAAAGTATTATGCTAAGTGGTAAAAATATGATATTTGGATAATTTTCACCATTTTTCCTCGTTCGATGAATTGGAGCATTATCCATTATTAGCAATGAAAAATTATATATAATTTATCGAGGTATATTTTGAATTTTATGGCAATGAAAGCCTCATCTATAATTATGAATTTTTTCAATCCACTTATTCCTTTTGTGCATAGGACTTGTATATTTTTCCTTTGGAAGGGAGTGACTTAACAGATGGTCTATATTCCAAGGGTGCCCACTTATAGTGCGAAATAATGTCGATATTAAAACCTGCCACTTTCAGGAAGAATACATTTTCTAAAGAAATATTTTTTCTCTTGTCACAATATTCCTTTCGAATTTGAATTACATCTAGAGCGCTTCTTCTATCGGGTTCTTTCCCAATCCTTTTCCTACTCTAACTTATTAATTCAATACATTTTGATATGGCCGACTCGCTCATTCTTAGATATGGCGGTTATGTTCTAATTTTTGGTGATGTAGCCGTTATTACCAACAATACAGTTATCGAATAATTAGATAAAGGGCCATCGTAATATTTGGAGAAAGCTTCCCGCTCAAAACGATAAACTAAATATTTAAATCATGGATAATTGTCTTTGTATTGGGCTGCATCAAATGGTTTGCTCCATATTTTAGCCAATTTAATTTTTGCTTCCCAATTACCATTTTTTCCACAAACGAATAATAAAATAAAAATTTAGTTGCTTTTGAATAAATGGTTTTCACATCGATTTATAATGTTAGACATCAATTGGTATCTATTTATTTAACCCCTCGAGAGAATATGATGTTTCATTAGGTGTATCTTAAATTATGTATATAGTTAGTAAATAATCATATATTATATTAACAAACCTGAAAATGGAGATAGTTTCAAAATACTAGCCATAGAATTTGACATATAAAAAAAATAAATAAAGATTTTTAATTGGAGAAAAAAATTATTAGAAAATTTAATTTAAATTGCAAAAAAATTACCGGAAGTTTTTATCTCAACATTTTTTTAATAGTTTTTTAAAATAGAATATCTTTCTCAATAGGATTTTATAATAATTACGGAAAGTAAAAGGGTCAGTTTATCTTTTCAAGCTGGAAACTTTCCCTGAATTTTACGATAACCCTTTATCAAATTATATAATAAAACAACGAAGTCGGAAGAAAATAGATAACACAGAACTTCAATTGAATATAATTGAATTGTTTATTAATAATAACGGCTATACCATCAAAAATATAAACACTTACGGCCACATCTGAGAATAAGCGAGTGGGCCATATCAATACATCAATGAAACCCGATATAAGAAATGTTCTAGATGTAATTCAAATTCGAGGAGAATATTGTGACAAAATGAAAAATATTTCTTTTGAAAATATATTCTTCCTGGACGAGACAGGGTTTTATACCCACATTATTTTCACTATGGATAAGCATCTTTGGTAAAAAGGTCATCAGTTAAATTACCCCCTACCAAGGGGACAAATATATCAGTAATATGCAAAAAACTAATAAAAAGACTGAAAAAATTGCAATATAGATGGGGCTTCCACGGCCATAAAATTCAAAACCTACCTCGGTTAATTATCAAATTTTTACCATCAAATTAATTATTAATAATGGATGATGCTCCTATTCATCAAGCAAGTATAATAAATGAAAATTATTCAAATATCATTCTTTTACCATCTTACCACAATTGAATCCGATCGAAAAAATTTTCGGAGTTCTTAAAAATTAATACCGATCCTCTTAAACCAATTAACAGAATAGAAGTTATGCTACTACCACGCATATTTTGAATTTCAAATTTTTATTCTCACACCACATTGAAGATAAAATTCGATGCATTCCTTTAAATGATTGAATTTATAATTGATTTATATTGTATAATATTTTATATACTTTGAATAAATAATAAATTATTTTGGCATCTCGAATTGATCATAAAAAAATCTAAACAAATAAGAATAAACTGAAAACTCATTCGAATTTTCCTTCATGTTTTTTAAGAAGTTATTTTAATCATATCCTGATTTCCAGTCTAAAAGTAAAATTATAATACTACCAGGGCTGTGCCGATATTAAATATCGGATCAGATCGGCACCGATATCTCGAGTTTTCCAAAAATGTCGGATCGGGCCGATACCTGCAAAAACCCGATCCGATCTTTTTACTTTTCTTTTTTTGTTATTTTATGTACATTTATTTTACATTAATAATATTTTCTAAATAATTTTTTTTAAACAATGCAAATGCACAACACCTCTTAAATTTTATTTATTTTTTAAAATAGATTTATAGTATTTTTAAAGTTTTTTTATAAAAATAGAAAGGAACACCCAATTATTTATTTTAAATCTTTTTAAATAATGCCAATTTTATTATTTATACTTTAAATAAAAGAATTTTTTAAAATATGTTATCTGAATTATGGAAATATTTTACAAAAGACAAAGATAATTTTGCAAAATGCATTATCTGCGGAATTCTAATTTCACGGGGAGGAATAATGAAAACTTCATTTAATACTACCAATATCCGGTGTTTTAAATTATTTTAGAAATCAAAAAATTAAATTAATTGCTTAATTTGTTTTTTTGCATAAAAAATATTGATTTCTTTTCGAAGTGGGGTGGTGAAAAATCAATATAAATATCGGATTGGTTTAAACCAATATCGGAGTATTTTTATAGAATTTTTTTTAAAATTCTCATTCCCCCTACTTGAGTCCAAAACATAAAAAAACTATATTCGAAAACTTTAAAACTTTTTACATTTTGAAAAATCTTCATAGCTTTAAAGCTGTTAGTTTTATTAGAGTTTTAAAGCTTTTATTATCAATATTATTTTTTTAAATTATATCAAAATGTTTTTTACAATAACTACGGAAAATAAATTAACCATATAAAGAATGTTATTCCACAATATGGATATGTATTACAATAAAACCATATTATTACTGTTATATATAAAAAATATTTTTTAAAAATTACCTTGATATTTTTCCATTTTCCTCAGATGATTTGATGAGTTCTTGATGTACCAAGTGCAATAGGTTACAAATGCAATACAAGTAGAGAAATCGGAGAAAGACTAAGGAATAAGATTACACTAAATTATATTTAGTTTAATTTTTTCTATTTCTAGTGTTGTTAAAGGCTTGATTTTTAAAAACGGTTATCCCAATATTTTAACAAAAAATACGTAAGCCTCGAGATTTCGTTGATAGATGTCCAAACTTTTCTGCTATCTATGAACAAAATCTCCAGGCTTGCATAATATTTTTAGGATAAAATATTGAGTTGTTTTTAAAAATTTACCTATTTCTTCCATAAAAAAGTTTTAAAAATGACAAATTCTCGCTCATCTGAATTACATTGGCAATCATCGAATATATGATGCTAAAGCATATTTAAAAATTAATTATATTATCTATTTTAATTTCTAAAAGTAAAAAAAATATTGTAAAATTACGATGATATTGTCATATTTCTAAGCTAAAAGAAAGGGAAATCTCGGTGAAGCCAAAAAAAATTAATTAAGCCTGAACTTAACCTAGAAAATCTGCGATAGACCTAACCAAATAATTCCTCCTAGCCATAAATCAAAAAAAATCGACTCATGATTAGTCTTACTCTTAGCCAAATTAAATCAAGCTTGGTCTTAGTTGCCTAAAAATCGCCAATCTTATTACCCAGCTATAATACACATACATATTTCAAAAATGTTTAATTTAATAAAATATTACATTTATCATTTTTTTTAAAAAAAGGTGGTGACATGTTGGGTCAGATCATAGTGTGGGATATTGCCATCCCAACTATACTTAAACCTCGTTTAAAAAGTAGGAAAATAGGCGAATTCAAAACTCCAGTTGGGGACATATTACAAATGTGTGTATCTTCCAGTACCGATACTCTTGTCGTAGCCACACAAAAAGGATTATATTTTTGGAGCGACCTGTCTGATGATAGAAAAATTTTAACTTCTAATCTCACGTTTATACTTTCGAATAATTGTTTTTAGCTCCCCCTACCCCTCCCTTTTGAGTAAAAAAAATATATAAAGATTATTTTTATGATTATCAAAAGTTTTCGGGTTTTTTAAATATATTTTATTTATTTTTATAGCTAACAATTCCGATTTCAAATATTCCCGGGCCGGGTTTAGGGCCAGGCCTGCAGGTCTCTGATTTTAATTATCCGAGTTAAAAATTTATTGATAAACTATATTAAATAGCTAAACAATATCTTATCGATTTAGGTCACAAAAAATATTTTTAAAAATTACCCTGTCCAGAAATGGTAATCCTTTTAAAAATTTTGATTTATATATTTAAAACAAAATTGATTTATTTAATATCTAGGCGCTTAAATATAAATAATTTTTAAAGAATAATGATTTTCTTTTCGAAATTTAATCTATTCCTTTTTTTCGGGTAATCTTGGCTCTCCTGGTTATTACCTATGCCTTTAAATACTTTATCAGACATCAAAGTTTTTTTTAAAATATCCTATCCTTAAAAAAATAATATAGTCAAGCTAATTTCAAATCGATAATAAATTGTTATTAACAGAGAGGGGGGGGGATGCAATATATTTTGCATTATCATAGTTTATTTTGCTAAATTTAAAAAGAATGTTTAATGATATATATATAGACCCACCCGTATTATTCTTCCCTTTTCGCTCGACCCTATGTCCGATGATGTATTAGAGATCGTGGACGGATTATGCTTGGTTTCGAAAGAACTTATAGGTTTCAAATTATTTACGACTAATTATGAGTTATAGAATCTTGTTAAATATACTGATAGAAAAAAGAAGAAATTGGACGTTCTTTGTTGCTTTAAGAAGATGGCCACTGCAAAAATTTGTTATTTTAATATTTGTAACTTAACAAAAAAGAAAATATAAATGATTTTTCTGCTAAAAATGTTCTTACTAGATTGAAATTTGATCTAAAATTTACTAGATATTTTTTTATTTGCTAAAATATTTAGGAAAGTTAATTGAGAAAAATATTTTATATTGTTGATTTACAGAAAGGATAGGGGCTAGAACATCAATAGTAGTGGAACGTGACATTGATGAATGGTATATGAAAGAATTTAAGAATCAATTTTTTTATACCAAAAATTAATTCATGTTAATTTTCAACAAAAATAATATTCAAGTGATAAATGAAAATTAATGCGAATTAATTAATTTATTAAAACTTAATATTAGAATGATAAATATAAATTAATACGAATTAATTTAGTTAATAAAACTACTATTCAAAAAACGCATATTAAAAAAGAATAATAAAATAAGCGGAATTAATAATATAACACTTAATCGGTTGTAATATCGCTTTCTTCGATTTTATTCCTTGAAACTTCCACCTAGAGAAAATAAATCGCTGTTTGTCAAAAGACCGCTACCCTAGGCACAGTGCGATAAATTTGATTGCCAAGGTCCTAAAATAGGATAATATACCAAACTCTTTTCTACTTGTTGGTCTAATATCGGTGTCAAAAGGCCGTGGATTAATGCTTATCCCATATGTGATCCTGAACTTTACATGAATATACATAATCGCCAGATCGAATTTCCGTTAAAACTGCCTTTAATTGGACAAAAACCTTAAACGAAACAAATATTCCTTCTTAATAACGTAATTTTTGTCCGTTGCTAAACCCTTTCCTTTTTAAAAAAATTACTGGAAAAATTATTCGCGATCTATGCTGACCCAAAGAAATATTTTCACTTGAGAAAAGGCATAGAGAAATAAATATGTAAATCGAATCTATTTTATAACGACGGTTCTTTTAGATTAATATGGTGCATTATTTTTTTTAGTATGTATTTCTTATTTTTAAATAGTACATGTAATTTTATTATTTATATTGAATTATTAAAAAGAAATTGCATAAATAACCAAAAAAACAAATATATATTTTAAGATTAATAAATTAATATAAAACTTTCCATTTTTGAAGATTCTTTATTTTGAGGAATAATCCAAACTCAAACCCAGCTATGGATGTTACTAGCTCCTATAATTTAAGCATGCTAAAGAGTATTTTATTTAGGCGTGCAGAGCACTCATTTGCTCCTCACTACTATATCATTGCATATAATTATAAATAAATATTTAATCAGTAAGCATTTATTATATATTTCATTTTTTTCAAAAGCTTCCAGAAGTTCTACAGATAGAAATATATATATTTGGAATTTACATTCACTGGGAAACGGGAAATCGCACTTGGATCATTTTGCGGAAGATAAAGTAAAGCCAGCCATTGTAGCGATCATCGAAGGACCGAACACTAAAGAATATTTTATGAAAATGTCATCTTCCTACAATTCTAGTAATGTTATTTAGTGTTAAATATTCGTTTTTTTTGTAATTGGGGGTTAGGTTGGAAGAAAATAAACTCTCTTTAAACATGATTTGTTCATAAAGTTCAAAATATCAAAGCTATGATATACAAAGTTTTATTATAGAATATGAACGCGCGACATATCATTATAAAAATTACATTTTTAATCCAAAGTTGAAACGACTTCTTGAATATAAAATTTGTTCCATATAAATATATAAATTTATATCTATTGACGTGTTGGTTAAATAGATAAATAAAATTTTAAGTAAAATAAAATGTATTACCTTAGGCATATAAAATTTGGAACGAAAGTTGCGTTATAAAAAAAAATAACTAAAAAAATAGAAATCAAAGTTATAAAAAATTGAAACTATTTAAATTAAATAATTAAGTTACAAAAATAAAAACAAAAATCCATATTATCAACATTCTCATTTTTAAAAATTCTAAATAATTTAATTTGCTTAAAATAAATAGTATTTTTTTAATAATTAGTGCAATGAGAATGACGTAATATAAAATTTTAATTTGATTTATTTCATAATTATAAATGTAATATTTAATGCCATTCATAAATATTCATTTTTTCTCATTAATTCCAGTTTGCCTCACATAACAATATAACAACTCATTAAATATTATTATCTAATTTAAATTTAATATTATAAAGAATTTTTTTGAAAAAATCAAACTTTAATTTTTAATGTTATAATAATATTATATAAAATAAAAGGCTTTAAACTTTAATGAATTTTTTTTTAGCAAGTTAGTGTTGAGAAGTGTTTTTTTTGACACTCACAATTATATAATACTACCGGGCAAGTATAAATGATAATTTATTGGAGAATCCCTTAATTTATAGTTAATTAAGAGTAATGACAAAAGAAAATAGAAATAAAATTAGATACAATTTTTAAGGAACGCATTGGAACATAATTTGTTGTCTAGAATATAAAATAATATATGAATGAATAACCTATAAATGTGTAAATAAATTAAACCATACTATTTTATTGAAAAAAAAATTATGCTAATAAATTTAAATAAATATCTTTAATTTTAGGATTCGAATTATCGAATCTTCAGAAATTCTAGAAATATATAATTATTTTGCAAGTCATTCAAAAATGTCTTCAAATTTCAATAATATATATACCGTTTTGATTAATAATTATAATATTTTTAGTGGTACCTAACGAATTACCTATTTACCTTATAACTGGAGATGATTTAGGCAATATATGGATTTATGATGTGACAAAAGTAGTACGCGAATATACGACATCACTCAAAAATGGGCCTAATCTTTTTTCTACGCCCATTAATACAATAGTTGTTTCGGAAGTAATTACAATTTGTTTATCAATATTTTAGTACCTTGATATATTATGTTTCAGACATTAAAATGGAATATGGATTTAGAAGTAAACTGCTTAAATAAAGGTAAACTCGATAATCACAAAATTTTGCCTAACTGGAAAAATTTATCAAAAGTAATATTTTATTTGATGTATCATATAATAAAATTTAATCATTTAGATTGTTAATTGTGTTAGTTCTTCTTCAGATTTGAAATATATAACTGGAGGGATGAATAATAATATTCTTACAATATGGCAAAATGACGACTGATATATATTATTTTTATTTATCTCTAATATTTTATAGTATATATAATTGTGTAAATAAAATTGTAAATATTTATATGATAATGTAATTAATGAATCCATCTAATTCATATTTTGGTATAAAATGGTTTAAATTATAAACTGCAGAATCGAAATTCTTGGTACAATTTCACCCGTGGATCAGCTAAAAAATTTAGACCTGATATTTTAAAAATAAGCATAAATATGAAAGAAATATCAAAGTCAGAATATTTAGTTTATTCTCTATTTTTAACTTTATGCAACAAGTTTAAATATTCAGCTATGACTTTGTTAATTTGAGAATTTTTATCTAATTTATTCTATATATTTACACCCTGACCTATTTTTTTAAAAAAAAATTATTTTCTCAATCAGGCAAAGAAATAAGAATAGGAAATCAGTATAATAACATTTTTCAGGCCAGGGTGGTCTATATTTTATTGATGTTACTTTTGTCCCGCAGACCTAGCTAGCTGCAGAATTTATTTATATTTAATATAATTTAAGTTGTAAAAGGATTATTATATAATAATATATATTTATTAGTGTCCTTGAATAGCCAAACCCACTAAATGGTTTATTTTACAAGTTCTAGCTAAAGGGAGGGGAATTATTAGAGGCTATGGTTCCCATAATTTCTATTGTTAGACGGTCAACTTACTTCAGGCCTGAAATATTTTCTTTTTCCAAATATATTTAAGGTTATTACGACCGAACCCGAATTTTTTAACTTTATATGATTGATTTCTAGAAAACAAGAGTAGAAAATATAAGGTTGCGCAAACTTTATTTATTTGCTTTTAATATATTAAGTTATAACTGTCCTAACTTGATTACTGCATTTTTCAAAAACCAGTAAAACTTTTAGATATAATAATTTTTTAACTCTTATTTTTACAAAAACTTACATATCTCATTCTATTAGATTGATAGCTTCTGTAATTTACTAGTAATTTGTATTCATGTCGATTGGAGTGAACTCGAACTTGTGATTTTCTTGATCAAACTAGACCCAACAGTAATTTTTTGACCACGCTTCCGCCAAAAGTATAGGCGATTATTTCGCCGCCAAAAATTTTGTATGGCCTCATGATATAGAGTTTTGATTATTACAGAAAATTTATTTAACATTAACAATATAAAGATATTTTTGTATTAAAAATGCGATATTGTTTTATAATTGAATATCAACCGAGATAGGTTAAATTGTTATTAAAATAAATGTTATTACATAAAAATTTATAAACAGGATTTATATATTTGAAATGATGATTATATTTTATTTCGTTTTAAAAATAAAATAAAGAAAAACCCATATTTCAAATTACTAAAATATTTTTAATATTATATTATAATTATAAAAATATATTATATTTATCTTGACATAATAAAGAATAAAGTTTATATATATTGGAGCAGGCTTGTAAACGGTAACATTTAATGTGAGGGGGGGGGGGGGATGGGGTGTATATTTTGAAATAGATCAAATAGTCAAACATCTCGTAAATTTTTTATTGAAAAATTATAAATGCAAATTTTTATATTTTAACAATATATTAAAAAAAAATATGGGTTTTTTTTCCTAAACCAATAGAACTAAATAAAAATTTATTTTTCATCAATTATCTGATGCTCAATAAACCCTCTTAATACAGAATGAAGATGTTGATTTAGATCTGCATTGGGCGGGGTTTCGGCCCACTCGCTTATCTAAGTGGGCTGGCAAATAAATTTTTAAGAACGGGCGGGCGGGTTAAAAAAATTTAAAATCATTTAAGTAAATAATAAAAAATTGTTCCTATGAACTTTTTTGGATATTAAAAATTAAAATGTCCTTTTTTGGTATCATAAAAACTTTTAATAAATAAACTTTTTTGTATATTTAAAACTATATTGGTGGAAACGACAAGAAAGAGATTGCCAAAGTTATGAAGATTAACAAGAAAAATATTGGCAATTCCTGCAACTAGTGCTTCTTCTGAACGAGAATTTAGCATTGCTGGAAGGTTTTTAGAACAAAGAAGAACGTGTTTGAATCCAGAAAATGTCGATTCATTATTAATTACATATAATATCAATTTTATATTTATATTATTTTCGTAAATATTTTATTTGATGAAATAAATTATCCATAATTTAAATTGAATATTTTTTTATGCTTAATATAGTAACCAAAAAACTTTTTGTAGAGATGTAAGGTAATTTTTTTTTCTTAGATGCTTAAAAAATTGAAAGAATGGCCATTAAATTTTATAATAGCGGGCTTGGGTTAAAAATTTTTTATAAATAATGGGTGGGCGGGTAAATAATTTTAGATTAATGGACGGGCAGGAGGGTATATTTTTTCGGACGGGTTAATTTTTTATAAAACATTGGGTGGGCGGGCTTATGGTCCAAAACCCGCCCAATGCAGACCTCTAATGTTGATATCTCAATGATTAGTAGCTGCTGCATTTATATAATTATTTAAATTCAATATAATAATTCTTTTTATACATAATTTTAAATGCCGCTAATAATCTCTTAACGATTCTCATTTCATGCTTCAATATTAAGGTTTAAAAACAGAGGTGTCACTATCCTTTACAATATCAGGGGGAAGCTCCAACTAAAAAAATTTTATGGGGGGGGGGGGTAACCTAACACCTCCTAATTTGCGGACCTTCGACCCGCTTTTGCCCGACCTTCGGCCGAGTTTTATATTAATATATTATATTTTTTTAAAATTTGCTAACTGTGAACATTCATTTATTCATCACCCACCAGGAGTTGTAGCGTGCACCATGTATATTCACTAATATATAGATCCTATACATGATGTATACCCGTTTTATTATAGTGGACGGTGCCACTATGTAGTCAGCTAGCATAGTGAAGAAGAGAGAAATAAAAAATCCTATGTCAGGTAAATATATCCTTGGAAGATAACACTATGTCTATAGAGCGTGTCCTGTTCCAGAGGCATCTAAGTTTTCTATAATTGTAAAATTAGTCCATGAAACCCATTATCCTAAGAATCCTATTATCCTTTGTTTGTTTTTTCCTGTTTCCATATTTCCTATTTGTTTTGTTTATTTTTTCCTTCATTACTCTATGTCATTAATTGGAGTCAATATCTTGTGTCCCCATAAATCCTTGTCTGTACTAAACAAGCGATGCTCGGGATCCTCATTATATTTATAACATTATCATTATTTTTATAGTGAACGCGAATCATTATTATTATTCGATCTTCCATGATTATCATTGTCGTTCGTCCAGTAGAAGAAGAATAAAGAAAAAGAAAAGATTTATCAAAAAGGAAAAATAGAAAAGAGAAAAAAATACCATCAATCTCTTCATACTTCATTCTATCCATAGTTTCTAAGATAACCTGTGCCGAAAGCATAAATTGTCATTCAACTCCGGGAGAAATGGATAAAGGAAAATCAGGTGCGAGAGTAGTCTCATTCCTCCTAACGATTCCTGCTCTAGTTCAGCCCATGTCTAGGCATGTATTGTAGTTCCTTTAGATGTTTTTTGTTTTTACTGAGTGCCAAAAATCTGTAAACGAAAGATTGATCAAGTCCATATCCTTAAGACATTTTGCAAGGCAATAATATTTGGGAGCGCTCTGAACTGTGAATAATTATTCTGAATTTCATATTTTGTCATTTATTATATTATGCATACATAAACTAGCATATAAATAATTAAAACAATACAAGACATCTCTAAAAATAATCTTTTTTAATACAAAATCTATTTATTACAGTATAAAATATTTTCGATTGCTGATATAAAAAAATTTTGCGTCTAAAGAATTACAAGTGATAAAAAGGTTAATTAATTCATACATATGGCTCAATTAATAATGGTTAAAACTAATATAACTCTATTACCATTTTAAACAATGTTTTATAGAATGGAGTAATAAGGAAAAATTTATAGGCCTAACCAAATCAACAATTCTTGAAGAAAATAATATAAACGGCCAATCCAAATTATTAAATTTCTAAAAGATAATTTTCCATTTTTAGTGAAATATAAACGACTACACAGTTGACCATTATTTATCTAAAATATGCAATCATATGCTCTCAGGTGCTGTAGTAATAATCTTAACTTGTATAGCCACACAAATAATAGATGCTGGTTAATTTGCAGTCATAGCCATGACACTCACGATGTTAACTAATATCAAAATTTATTATGTTTGAAAAATTGATAAAACAAAAACACCAAAAATCTTTAGAAGAAATTATGCAAATATATCGAAGCCTTAAGTTATTTACACGGCAAGGATGCCATATTAGAAATAAAACATTTTGTAACTATAAAATAAGAACCAGTGTGATATGATGAAAGCAATTAAGATTTTATATATTATTGTCGCACCATCTCTAGTTGGTATATTATATCTTAAAATAATAGTAGTTTGTAATAATATCAAAAATATACTCGTATTAAAAATTTAACTCAAAACCATTTTCCAAATAAGAAAAAATAGCTTTTCCAAAAACACGTAAAAAAAGAGAAGAAAAGATATTTTATTTATTACATCTATTGTGGGATGAATAATAAGATGTTTTATTTCTAATAATATTTTTAAATAAATAGATAATAGATGGCGTTAAAGAATTGATTACAAATTATTACTTATATTTATTATAAAAAGCATTTATTAGTAAAATTTATTAAAATATTAACTGTAATATATTATGTAACTGTCAAATACGTCTAAAAATGGCATTTTACCTAATATTTTATAACCAATCATATATAATAAAAGATTATAAACTATAGGTCTACTTACTTTTTATAAAGAAATCTCTTAGGCCACTTCCAGACAGAACGTTTTTTCAAAGCGGTTTTTAGGTAATGTTACTAGCAATTTTTTTATTTATTTCCGAACAAATGATAATAATTTCTGGAATTAATATTTTATATAATATAATATTTTTAATCGACTTTCAGACGCCATTTAATCATAAATCTAAAACAAACTGGTTTGATTTTTATTAATGATTAAATGACGTCTGAAATGAGGTC